AACCCACAGCAGGAGCCAAATTAGTGTGCTTCTCTCCAGACCTGTTTTAAAGCTAGCATGGGGCAGGGCACTGAGCTACGCTGGGTGTAATGTGTAACAGCCAGCCTACACTGACTGCAGGCCCACAAGAGCCAGAGGAGTCCGACACTGCCAAGCAGCCGACTCACACAGAAGCCTGGTGACTTGCCCAAGGTTACACAACCAGTGTTTCCCAGTAGAAGGAGCCCTTCACTCTTTGCCCCTAGATCTCCTTGGTCACCAAGAAAGACAGCAATTGAGCAGCCCAGAAAGCTGAGGCCAGTACAAATAACTAAAATGCTGGGGAATCAAAGGCACTGGAAATACACATATTTTCCCCCAGGATGCCAAAGACTGTGATACCAGCCCTCAGTATGAATGGGAGCACTGGAGGGGAAGGTGGCAATTATTCTCAATTACTCAAGAAGAGAGTAAGAGCCTAGAAGGGCTCTTCTCTGGAGCCATTTTAATCAGCTGTCCAAAAACACATGCAAAACCAGCAGATGGAACACAGGTTAAGTATATTCTGAAGGCCTTTCAAGCTGGAGGGGGAGATTAAATAATGATATACAAGCAATCTAACGGCCCAAAAACATTGTGGGCGAGATCAAATGCCCGGTAGAGAGTCAAGCGTCAATTAGAAAAGCAGCAGGCTTGGCATAAAAACAAGGCTCTCCAGCTCAGCAAGGCAGGGGTGAGGCAGGGAGACAGCCAGTTGTGGCCAGCTAATTGGAAAGGCTGTCCCCAAGTGCAACATCAGGTTTGGTTTTGTGAGACAGGGTCTCTTTATATAGCCTAGTTGGCCTGGAACTTGCTATGTAGCTAAGGCTGACCTCAAACTCAGGATCCTGCAGACTCAGCCTCCAGGGTGCTAGGACTACAGGTGTGAGCAACATGCCTGTAGGATGTTGGCCGTCCTACTAACATTAGCTTTTCCATGTCCTGAGGATACTAGGCAGGGCAGATGGTGCCACCTGGGACTCAACCATCTCTTTCCATTAATGCTATCTATGCATCTATACCAGCACCTGTCAATCAAATGAAAGACAAAACCAGAGAAAGGAAACTTATGGGAAAATGGCTGCCGCCATCAGCATTCTCTGCTGCTTGAGCTCAGGACTTGTCGTGGGTTCATTCTCTGTGTTCACTCTGCCCACAAAAGGCAGCCTCTGTTGTCCATGGTTGTCCATGATGTCACAGGACAGAGAGAACTGTAAATCAGGCAGAGTATGATAAGAAACCCATCAGACAACGCTTCCTGGAGGTGTTACAGGCCAGAATATGCAACAGACACAGCAGCTTGCGTCCAACCTCTCCTTGTGTGTCAGGCAGCAGACATGAGTGCAGGGGCACCCACACTTCTATTTCTTCATACATGACTGCAAAATTTGTGTTAGATTTGATATTGAAAAGTCTCCCCAAGAACCCCATTTCCTCCACTTCAAGGCTGAGCTCATGTGTGTCACTGTCCTGAGATGGCTTTCCTGGCAAAATGATGCTATCTACTGTAAAGTCCCTTTGGTGCCATTTACTGATCCAAGAAAAGACTGGGCACCTCCCCACCCTTGCTCCGTACAGGAAGCACCAGGCCTCAAGCAGGGCTACAGAGCTGGCTTTGTTTGGACATGAGTCCTTCTACTCCTCGATTTCTCTTTGGAACACAGCCATTGCCAATGTATGTGTGTGTGTGGGAGGGGGTCTCCCTGTCACATCTCTCCACTCCACGGGTGCTCTCTCCATTACCTTTGGGTTCTGGGCACCGTTGCACTCATCATAAACTCCTAGCACCTAGCACAACAGCCCATACTCTGGAACACACCCACTACAAGGACTTGTCCTTGGGAAAGCCACCAGCTGCACTTTCAGACTTCCTCTCAGGGTCTAGGGGCTGCATGGGGACAGACCCAGCTCAGCAAGCACCACAGCCTTCCTGTGTGTGTTTTAATGCGCACTCGAAGGGATAATTTCTCCGACAAGTTGAAGGGCCTGACTTTGCCTCAGTGGCAAGTCAATGTTCAGAAAGGCCTAGGGTTCTCAGCTCCCATCGGCTGACTGAACCGTAAAAAAAACAGTACTGAGTCCCCGCCTGAGCCTGGAGCCATGGATGTGGCCTAGTCTGCCTGGCCTCTAGCATATCCTGCAAAACCTACCCAGCAGAGAAAGGAGGGAGAGCAGCCTCCAGTTGACCAGCAAGTTTTCTGTTGTTAGAATTCAATTGGGGAACTTTCGCTGAGACCCACGACCTCACAATCTCCAGTCACTGTTACCATTGATTGTGGCGGAAGTGTACAGACGCTCATGTGGTGCATAAAACAGACTATGTAGCCTATTCCCTGGATGGTGCCCATGACAGTCAGCTCAGGAGTGAGTCAGTTAACAGCCAAGGCTCACAGAGAATGAGTGTTCATGACTCAGTCACCCCAAAAATGTCATGTATGGATTCTCCTTCATTATCCAGAAAGACAAGTGAGTCACCTTTGAAATACACCAGTCAAAGAGATCCTAACATAGTGACTTTTCTGGACAATTTGTGTTCAAGCTTCCTAGAAATTTTGCCATCAGGACACCAAAGCAGATTCTAAGGTGCTAGGCCAACATAAATCCACAAAAGCTTGGCCTTTAATTGAGTTTGTAAAAGGTCCTTATAGGCACTGACAGTTCTATACCTTGGAAATTGAAGAAATTGCCCAATTCTGTCCTGGTCTTCACTCAAAGTGGACTGAAGAGAAAGTGTGTATGCTTCAACGTCATGTGAAGCCAATCCTTCAACCATTGTGGAATGACAAGGTGCATGTCAGGGATGAGGCTGTGGCTGTAGCTGTCAGGTCCATGTGTCTATAGGAAACTTGTCTGGATATCTGGTTGCCACCCAGCAGGTCTACAGTGAGCCAAGCTCTGCAGGTGGTGTCCTTCATCTTCAAGTTCATTTATGCACAAATAAGTAAGAGTCTGTTCTACAGACATGGGTGTAGGAGGGGAAAGTCCCCTCTGTGCACTGGCAGGGGTGGGGCTTCTCCTGCATGGAGGGACCATGGATGACCCACTCTACATGGGGGACTTCTCCTGCATGGAGAGGCACACTGCAAAGAGGAAAGCCACTCACAGTCCCCACTACACAGGATAGACACCTGTTCTTTCTAAATGACTGAACTGCAGAAGCCTCATTCTTCAGGGCAGAGCCTCGGTTGGTGAGGTTGGCTCATGGGACTGGCACTCTCGGCACACTTAACTCAGTGAAGGCTTATAAAATGGGGAAGGGGTCACTGAGGAAGCAGGGGGTGGAGAAGGGGCTGCTTTAGCCTCATAGAATTCTCTGAGTGATGCAAGATGTATGGTAGGCTAGTTCCTAGAACTTATGTGGCAAATGGCCTTGGCAGAGGTGATTAATTTAAGAAACTTGAATTGGGATACCACTGCAGATTTTCTGCATGGGCCCACTGTCATCCAAGAAGAGGAGGTGTATGAATCAGGAAAGGCTTGAGGATGTGATAGAATAGATGAAGGGTCAGAGAGACATGGTTTCTGTCTTTATGAGGATTCTGGTTGGCAGCACACACTGGGAATGAGCCCTAGAGAGGAGTTCCTGTCAATATTATTCCCAGTTGCTTTCGGGTCCTCAAAGGGTCCTGAACTTCAATGTCTGACTGGCTGCTTAATATCCTGTCACCTGATTCTGATGGCTATCATGTGGAACTATCCTTGGAGTTAGTGACCCTTTAGTGCCTAGGAGAGTTAAACCAGGGAACAGAGATGGGCTATAGGCACAGTGGTATTCAAGCTCCCTCAGCAGTTCAAAGTGCAGACAAGGTAGGGGCAATGTTTCCACTCACTAACAGGAGGGTGGGATGACTGCCGGGACAGGTGACTGAGCAGCTGCACACTGGGTTCAGACTTGGGTCTTCAGTCTCACCCAGCCTTTTGTACAGTGACTAAGCAGTAACACATTTTCAATAGAGGCCATCCTACCTTGATGAAAGAAGCAGCCACAATAAAATAAACTTCTCTGAGAATGTCTGGTCTCTTTATGCATGTGAATAAGTATGATAACTGCAGTGACTGAAACTAGGAACAACATTGACAGAACAGCAGTCAGTAGGCATGACCAACCAAGATGTTAATTTAGTCTGTGTTTGTATGTACATGTGTGCATTTGTATGAGAGTGTGAGTATATGTGCATATGCGTGCATCTGTATTTGGGGTGTGTATGCACATGTTCTGCAAATGTGTGAATGTGCATGTCCGTGCTTTGGTGTGTGTGTGTATGTAGGTTTGTGTGCACACATGTGCATGTGGGTGTGGATACCAGAGAAGAACCTTGAGTCTACCTTGATTTTTAGACAGGGTATCTCACTGACGGAACTAGCCGATAAGCTAGTGCTGAGATTATAGGTGTGTGTCACATTTCTGTAAGTACTGGAGAGTCACACTTGTTCCTCAGGTTTGTATGGCAAGCACTGTTAGGACTGAGCCAGCTCCCCAGGCCTTCAAAAACCTTTTTGATTTTGAAAATTATACATTTGTGTGTGTGCAGATGCACATGTGGAAGCCAGAAAACCTCCTTCTACCTTACCATGAGTTCCGGGAACTAAATTCAGTGTGACAAGCTTGTACAGCAAACACGTTTATCCACTGAGCCCTCTTAATGACCTGTTTTTAAGAATATTATCTAAAAGGCCACAGCTGAGCCTGCCTGCATTCAAATTCTCTGACACGTTCACACAACACGGGCAACGTTAAGTGTTTCCTACTGGAAGGGGACAGCCCCCACTGAGCCAAGCACACTAGCTCTCTGGCACTTTATAGGAAGCTGTACTGGTAAAATAGGGGGAAGCTCACCCACAGGAAGAGTGCCTTTTCCTGAGGTGGGGGCTTATGAGAAGCTCCTTTCTCGGTTTTTCCTAACATTGCAGTTTTCTTGTGGTGAGCACTGTCTTCAAGGGCAGACCAAGCAACAGCAATGATCTGGCCCCTAGATGCATACCTTGTTTCCAATGGCCTTTTTGGGCGGGAAATTGTAGGCCCTTACTTGCGGGAAAGCACTCTGCAGCTGGTGGTGCAGCCCCCGGAACTCAGTGTACCGCCGATACACGTTCCACTCGTCGTCTTTTATCCGAATATAGACCTGCCGAGGAGGGAGAGAGGAAGACAGGCTGAGCCCAAGCTCTCAACATCACCCTTGCCAGGGTAGGTGCCACATCATTCTGTCCATGAGGGCCATGTCTGCTTCACACACTACAAGGCACTGACAGGTGGCACTGAGGGCACCACTGGGCACAGGAGGGACTCGGTGAGGCACATGACACTCGGGCCCAGCCTAAGTGACAGCAGAGCTGCAACTCCCTGTCACATGTAAACTGCCCCATGGACACCAGTTCTGTAAGTCCCACAGGCCTGGGGTCACACTGACCAGTGCACAGTAGGGGAGCTGATTTGAGGCAAAAGAGAGTGAGACTGAGATCTTCCAGAATGCTGGAGGGTCTGGTAGGTAGACCAGAAAGTCAATACCCGGACGGTATAAGCACATGCAGGGATATAACCTTATCTCAGCCAAGTTGGGATCCTACCCAGAGCATGCGCAAGATGCTGCTGTGTTTATGGGCTTAACACTTTCTAGGACACACAGCTACTTGGCAAGGAAGCCTGAGAAATGGGAGGCTCTTTTAGTTATTTATGTTTTGAGATAGGTCCCCTTATGCATATGTTGTTGGCCTGGACCTTGCTATATAGACCAGGCTAACCTCAAACTAACAAAGATCCTACTGCTCTGTAGGATTGGCCACTGCTCCCATCTGATGTGTTTTAAAAGATCATCCCACCTAAGAATCACAGGGAGGGCAAAGTCTCTGTGTAATGACTATTATACTTCATATAAAGCAAGGGTCCCTACATCTTCAAGACCTCCTTACAGACCAGTGTAGACAAACTTCTCTACTGTGAGTGACAGTCTACATTCTTCATAACATACATTTAGAAGCCAATCCTTTTTACTCAGTGGAAGAAAGGTGTGCTTCCTATTCCTCTTCTCTTCCCAAGCATCCCAAGGATGCTTGGCTTCTGTCCCTCCTCCCCTACAGAAAGCCACACTCACTTCTACAGGCCCTGTGTTTCTACCCAGGACTCTGCAATCTGTACATCTAGTGCAGACCTCAGATGTGAGCTGCCAGCTAGGTGTGCATCCTCACATTCTTTAAACAAGTGCCTAAATCTGAAGCCAGGCCCTATCCTGCAAATCTGACCTCCTTCTCCTGGGTTACTGATTCCTCAAGAGTAAAGACAACACAAAGCATCCTTGACACCAGTTCCACTGCCTGCACGTTTTCAGGCCAGGCTGGCAGCAGTCTCCAGGAGCAAGGGGCTTGAAGGCCGGCAGCAGCAGGGCAGACCTGACTCCCGCTGTGAGCAGCATGTTCACATTCCTGCCTTTGCTAGTATCTGGAGTGCATTTTTGGTGCCCACTATTACTATACCCGGAGGCCACTGATAGCCAGGGGAGCAGAGAAAGTGCCAAGGCTCCATGGATCACCCATGACAGGCTCACCTCACCACCTCACACAGATGTGGATGAAGCTCTCAGCTCTGTGACTCCCACTCTAAAAGAAACGAGCCTCTGTGAAGTCAGCAAGTGGGAGGCCCAAGGTTGAACAGAAATAACACACTCCAGCTAATCACAGGACCTTCAGCACTCAGCACCTGTCACGTGGGGCATTACCTCAGGTACATGCCTCTCCTCTGTCCTCAGGCTAAGCTACGAGGCAGAAAGTGGAAACTCACCATCTTCAAATGAAGACATGGACTCAGATAGGCAATGTCAGTTGCCTGGGAAAAGGGGGAAATGAAGAATCTGAGCCCAGATCTGCCTTTTCCCCAGTGTCCCATGTTTCCTTCCCCAGGACTCCCCTGCAAGGGCTGGGACTCACAGGGGCCTCTGGAACCCCAAACCATCAGTGAGGCAGCAGGGAAAGGTACCTCCCTTTGCCCTTTTCCTGAGCTTTTGATGTGACCTCCAAGTTTGTCCTTGCTAACAAGCCCCTGATTTCCCCTCCTCATTCACACTTCTCTCCTCAGAGCTAAGGATCTGATTTGATAGAATAAAATGCCACCAAACACTTCCAGATGACTAACAGCTAATCCCCAACAACCTGCTTGGCATCCAAACCTGGGAAACCTGAGGTGCAAATGATTCGCTCATGAATTCTTTACCACAGAACTGAGTGCACATGCTGAAAACTGTTAGAGTCATTCATTCGTTCATTTGTTTAACTAATTAATTATGTAAGTAATTACTTTCAAGGGTTCTTCCACCCATATTAAGTCTGACTGGATCAACTTTCCTCAGCTTGAGCCATGAAGACAATAATTCCTTGGTGGAATGAAATGCCAGTCTCTTCTACACAACCAAATTCCCTTCTAAGTGATGGAGAAAGTCACTCATCTCGACCCAGCAGAAGGAAATAAGATAGGTGGGTGCTGCTGGGGCCAGCATCAAGACCACTGCCTGAAGGGAAAGTGCAGACTTGAGATCCCTTTGCTGCAGAAGTCTTTCCCCTCAGAGAGGCCTACACAGCACAAGGAGGCAACAGTAAGTTGAGGGCTTGAGGTGTGGGCCTCAGTCCCTTGGGAGTGGACTGGGCCTCAAGGAGATAAGAGGATCTGGGGCTTACCAAGTGAACAAACAACACAGTCTAAGATGGGGACCTGGAAGAGCCTTGCTCATTTCTACTGAGGAGAAACTGTTACTATGCAAAGCAGGATGTAGGCCCTTTAGAAGCTCAGGTAGAACTGTGTATGACCCAGCTGAAGACACACCAGAAGGATCCAAAGCCAGCACACTACCAACATACATGTGTACTCTGGTTTATCAAGACACTATTTACCACAGCCAACTTCAAGACCCAGGCTAGATGTCCATTCACAGTTGAATGGACAATGAGACCATCACTATAAAAACTCAGTTTTGTTTAGCTATAAGGAATAAAATCATGTCATTTGTGGAAAAATGAATAGGACTGGAGATCATCATGTTAAATGAAATAAGCCAGACTCAGAAAAATGCAGTGTTTTCTCTCACATGGGCATCTAGCTTTAAACATAATCACATATGTCACACACATACATACACACACATACACGCACACGAAGACACCCACACACAGGCACACGTACACATACACATACATCAGACATGAAATTAGAAGAGGGGCTATCTATGAAGAGCAGGGACCCAACTGTACACTGGGAGGAAGGACAACACAGGGTGACACAAGTAAATGCTACCGAGGTATCTGCCACATATATACAAAGGTCAGGTGAAGCTTATCATTCTGTGCAATGAAGACATGCTAATTCTAAAAACAAGAATACCTGCAGAATGTCATGGGCTCCCTCATGCTTCTCACTTGTCAGCACCGCTTGTCTGCAATGTTGTGCACTCTCCCTGTATTTCTCTTCTTTCTTGAACTTCATGTAAGTGGAGTCATGCTTATATAGTCCTCCATGTCTGACCCTTCTCAGATAATGTATGTGAAATGCATCCATGTTGCTATATGCCCTCTCACTGATACTTTGACATGGCTGCATAATATTCCACCGTGATAACATGCCACCAGTATTTACCTGCTCTGCAGGGATGGGCGTTCACGGTATTTCCAGTTGGATGCTCTTGTACCTGTCTCCTTAGAATACACAGATCTAAATGTGGAAGGCAAAACTATGCAATTATGAAAAAAATCATGGTCAATATTGCCATGAGCTAGGGGAGAAGCAAGGCCTCCCACCTGAGCACAAAGGATGGTGCTCAAGTGTCCTGCATCTCTAACAGAGAACAATGGTGACATGCAGCGGATATGGTGGAGATCAATGGGATGGCATGGTCTGCATAAAGTATATTTGAGCTGGCCTGCCTTTTCCTGTTGAGGACCTAGATGTCCAACCCAGACTGTGGGCAGTGCTGGCGCTGTGCCCACTTACACATACGGTACGAATGGACAGCCCTGAGAGGGAGGCCAAACTGGGTTTGAACCCCAGTGCCACTTCTTGTAAGTTAGGTCACCTCTTACTTTTGGTAAATGAGGGTGATGCTGATTTGGGGAGAGCTGAGGGACTTCAGGATTTAGAACGGTGTCCAGTACCTGTGTCAACACATCTGTCAAGTGTCAGTTGTTCCTTTCAGTAAGCAACTGATCACATACACCGTCGGTGAGGGCAGGACAGGCAGGGAAAGAGAAAGAAGATCTGCAAGCTCATTTTGGCAGGCAGAAGTTCCAGGTCAAATGCCTGCCAAGCACAACACAAGCCTCAATAGCCCAAAGCACTGGGGACATCAGGCCGGTTGGCAGACACACAGGGCACAGAGCTGTACACAGGAAATGCCTGGGTCATCCTAGTTACCCCCAGTACACTCACTGTAATACTAAGGATGGTCTCTCACCCTGAAACTCAGCTCCTTCCTCTGGAGAACTGGGTGGAGGCTAGCCTCACTGGGTGGTCCTGAGATGCCATGCCTAACAGGCACAGTGAGCAAAGGCAGCTGCAGATATGGCAAGCCCTGTCACCTCCGTCATCCACTGCCTTTGTGTACATGAACTTCCTTATTACAGAATTAGGGGTAATTATAGGATGTGCAATCATGAAATTAAAGCAGGTAATTACCATGCCTAATTAATTGTCAAATGCTAGGCAGACAAGAGAATACAAACAGAAAGCATTGCTGTGGATGGGGCAGTTCCAGGTGCCCTCTGCTTCCAGAAAGCTCAACGGCAACCCCAGAGGTCAGAACCCGACCCCCCTGGGTGGGTTTTCAAGCACTAAAATAAACCCAGGATGCACACTGGGCTCTGACTCAGCCTGAGCTGGGCACCCTCTGTGCTGGCTGTAGACCAACAAAGCATTTATACAGCCCTGTCACAAACACACCCAGAGTCCCAAACCAGAGAGCTATTTCAGGAAGGGGACCTCATAGGGGATAACTTAATAGCTGCTGTAAACCTTAACAAGGAGCAGACTGTAGAGTCTGGCCCACACACAACAAGGATTCACAGATACAAACTGTGGGTTTGCAAGCAAAACACCACGCTGCCTCTGCTTGCTGGCAGTCACTGAACAGCAACCTTTTCACTCACCTTC